ATTTTTGATGTCTACTTTAAAATTTAGAAGTTTTTCCTTAATGTAGAAGGCAATTTTGGTTTTTAGATTGAAAAAAATAATTATTTTTTTCAGTATTCGGTTATTGAAAAAACCAATCTTAACGTTTTCTTTTTTCCACCCTAATAAAATATCTTGAACTTAATTTCTAAAAAGCAGTGAAATTTTTAAAAATCTCTTTTGTGAGGTATTTTCATAGACATCCAAAAGAACACTTTAGTCCTTCTCTGATTCAGCTGTATGAGAAAATTTCATTTATTAACAATGATGGGTATGATTAAGTCTCAAACACATGAAGTAAATCAATTTAATCCAGCCTGCCAGTTAAACTACTTTTATTTCTAACTCTAAATATAAATATTAACGTCTAGAAAACAAAGAACACTGGAGATAAACATTGTTTAAGGCCTCTTTCAAATGATTCTAAGGAATATGTGCCAAAAAAGTTCTAAAAGACTCTCCTATCATGTAAGAGAATAAGAAAATGTTATTTATATATTCCTGGTTTATAATCATCAAGGATCTAAAATTTGGCTCAGAATCCAGGTTAATGTAAGAAGAAATGAATTAAGAACATAAAAAAATACAGGTGCAGTTACAATTCAACTACATATTTCCCCTTTTTCTAGGGTATGTCTTTGTTCTCACAGCTGGGAGAGGTGTACTCTAAATTTGCCACAAAGAAGGCTACCACATTAAAGAACTCTTGAAATTCCTATAACCAAAACTGTAGCAATAAGCATGCAATCTTCAATTGCCTTTCATAAAGATATTATGTGCTTTAATCTTCTGTTCATCTGCACTCAGCACATTTGGCAAAGTACATTAACAATAGAGATGAGAACACTCATTTGAATATAAAGCTTAGGAAAGAAGAATCGCAGACAATGACTAATAACCAACATCTTTTAAGAGTTTATTTTCATTATTGAAAAAAGAATTGGAAATAATGTCATGTATTCTGTTTATGCTCTAAGTTTTTGTTTTAATTATTCAATTTCAGTTTTGCCTAAAGGAAGAAAATAAAACAAAAACAATTGTGATCTAAGTAAGATCAGTGATTTTGAACTCAAACTGCTGATTTTTAATGTATTCATTTTCCCAAATGTATAAATGTGCTTTTTACCTCTAATGTTTTATCAGTTCCACAGTCATAATTTATACAAAACACACAGATGGTCTTAGAAATAGTAAAAGTTTCAGATGTTACAGCTTCCTAGCATATGGAACACCATCATGGATCATCATTTTGGCAGCATGTAAATGATTTAAAAGTTATTTATATATTAACATCTTGGCATCATTTCAGAGTCATAGGATTTTACAACTTCAAACTATTTGATTCCTTATTGTAAGTGGTTCTTACACTGCTTAGAAGCTACTGATGGCATGGAGGAACGTGTGCTCTTCAATTAAGAGGCTAGCATTCCCTTAGCAAAAGCAAATGAAGATTCTGTAATAAATTAAACACTTTGGCATAAACCACAAAATGTCATCTAGTTCAATGTATGATACATCAGGGAGTTCCAAGAAGTTTTTAAAAATCAAATTTACTATAGTTATTTTAAACTGTCAGTGTCACAGAAAAAAATAACACATACACAGGCATACACACAAAAGATAACATTTAGAATTAACTGAGCTCTTTCAAAATGCAAGACTACAACCACCATTAATGTTTTATCTAGCATATGGAATACAACATTAAAAAGAGTTGTCTATGCTCCATGTTTAGTTTTGATCTTTTCAGTCTGTCTTGAACGAGATCAATGAGGTTTTAACCCCCACCACTCCCCTGAAATAGCTCCTGTCAAGGTCATTTATGATTGTTCACCAAGTTGTTAAATCCAGTGGTGAATTCTTAATCCTCATTATTACTCCACCTACCAGCTGCAATTGACTCAGTCACCACCACCTCCTTCAAACCATCTTTACTTGGCCCACCCTTCTAGATTACCTCCTTTCTCAGTGACTGCTCCCTCTCAGTTTCCCCTGCTCTTTCTCCCTCTTCTCCCTGAGAACTAAGTGTTGGACTGCTTTTCCTTTCTATCTGCAATCATTCCCTTGGTAATTGTAGTCTCCTGTTTTTAAAATAACATGTAAGCTGTTGACAACCATATTCTTTTACCTATATGGCTAAAAACTCCTCAGTGACTTCATGCAACAAAGATTAATTCTCATTCATTTTACATGTCCATCTTGGGAAGACAGGTGTGGGACAGAAAGTTCTACACAGAACTCTCAGGGTGTCTTCCACATTGCAGTGGCACTACCTAAATAAAACTAGCAGCTTCCTTGGTTGCAGAGTGCTAAAGACAGTACTGGAGTATTTAAATCACCAGTATTTTATTTCTTTAATGTTCACTCACAACCCATGAAGCTGAACAAGTCAAACAGGTCTGCTTGACAGCAAAAAAAGCTGGGAAACAGAGTCTTTTATCTGGGCAGAAGGACAGGAGAACTGCATAGTAATGAGAAGTTGTATGTCTACCATAATTTAATATTTTCTCTAACCTCAACCTCAATTCTGAATTTCTGACTCATGTATCCAACTGCCTATTTGACAATTATACTTGGATACTGAATAAGCATTTCAAAATTATCATGTCAAAAACTAAGCTCCTGATACTTCCCAAACCAAACCTTCTCCTACAATCTATGACATCTAAGATAACAGCCTCTATACCTTTTCAGTTTTGCAGGCCAATTAATCAGGAGGTCCTTCACTTTTTCTTTTTGCTTACAAACACATCCAGTCTGTTAGCAAATTCTGTTGCCTGTTGCTTTGCAGTATTTTCATAATCTAGCCACTCCTCACTTCCTCCCCTCCTAAGAGCCTGGTTCAAACCACCATTTGCCCCTTAGTGGGATGATGCTGAAAGCTCTCAATGGGTCTCCCTGCCTCTAGCATTGCTACATTTCAGTGTGTTCTCAAGACAGCAGAGGGCTCTCAGCAGAAGCTTCCCACCTTAGAAAAAAAGCCAAACCATCTACAACACCTGTAAGAGCCCACGCAGTTGGGCTATTATTGAATCCATAGCCTTTTTTAAAAGGCTATTCCCCTGATGGTATCTCCTATACATCTTTACTCCTTCTGTTCAACCAACACTGATTTTTTACTCATTAGTAAACATGTTAAGTATACCCAACCTTAAGGTTTTGCATTTAATACTGTGTCTGCCTAAAACACCCTTTTTTCAGATACTTGTATAGTTCATTCCATCATTTTTTTGAGGTTTCTGTTTTGTTTTGTTTTGTTTTTTGGTGAGGCATTCTCTCTGATCAGCTTATGTAAAATTTCAATCCTACCTGAACCCTAATAACTTCATCTACCTTTTGACTACTCTTACAGGTCTTATGATAGTTTAACTTACTGTATGTTACATTTAATTATTTTGGGTTTATCTATATACCCTTTCTCTATTTTTATAGGTGTTTTTATAGTTTAGCTTGCTGTATATTATACTGATTTATTTTGGGTTTGTCTGTATACACACTTATAAAATGTAAGCTCCAGTAGGATATTCACTGAATTTTGATAAAGCTGCATCTCCAGTGCTAAGAATTTTGTCATTAATTTGTATTAAACATGAATAGGTTATCAGGAAAGGCATGAGGGAAGTCTGAGATAATAATGGGTTTAATGTGTTCGAATCAATAAGAAAGGAAAAGGAGAATTACAGATAATGGTCACTAAATGGTCTAGAATATATTTTTTAAGGGCAAAATATTCTCATCTTTATTGTACATTAATCCAAAAGGAATCTGTTATTGCCAAGAAGAGGAAAATCTGTTTCTTCACTCTGCTTCTCCCATGGTCTTTCTTGACTTCATTAGCAAAAACTTGTGTTTCCACATTTAGCTTTTTTCTCATGTGACTCTGCAGCACCTCTTATAAGCAGAACCAGGTCATCCTCATCCCAATCCCGGGAATTACAGAAATCCTTTGGGAGACTCATTCTAATTCAGAATTACATGAAAAAAATGCTTAATTTTCTTTTCAGGTCCCTAAAACTTTGTTTAACACAACCTTCTCCACTCTTCTCACTATTAATTTTGTCCAAGCTAATCTACTAGCTGTTTGCTCAGAAACAGTGCAACTACTAAACAGCTTTGTGCAGTCTGTGTTATAACTTTGCTCTCGTACATCTTCAGCGGTGGCCTTTTCCTCACACATACATTCTCGTAGGGAACTTTAAAACTTGGCCAGTGAATTCACAATGGACAGATATCAGTGCGTGCTGAACAAAGAGAATTGTAAAGGGAAATATTGAGCAACCACAACATCAATGAGGGCCTGGTGATTGAGGTGCTTTAGTCAACACCGTACAAGACAAAACAGGCCAAAAAGTCATAGAGAATCACTATTGTCAAGAAGAAAATGCATCATGACTTCGTAAAAATTATATATAAGTCCTTAGAGCAGGAATTTGAAATCCAATAATCTCATCATATGACTTCATTTTATATTGAGATAAATTCATCATTAACCACCTTTCAAAATACGATTTTATTTTTCAGAAACAATATGGAACTCTATAGATAGGACAGAAAAGCAATTTTTAAAATGAAAAAAAAAAAAGCATAAAAAAATCTTGAAGTGGCTTAAGAGCCCTTCTGGAAACATACTATATAACAGATCTTCTTTAATAAACAATTTTTACTGTAACACATGGAAATTTTATAAGCCCTGAGTTATGATGATAATTAAGTCATACATAAAAGTGTTAACTCTCAGACACTAAAATAGAAATTACAGTTCTTGTTTTACTGATGTCTAAACACCACGCATTTTCCTTACTTATTTTCATGTCAACACAGAAAGAATAGAAATGTATTTTTTAAAAGAAAAACTGAATATGGGAGCTGATGCAAGCCTTTATTGAAATAACCTACTTCATTTTTCTCTTTTTTTTTTTTTTCAGTAAAGATACACATAGTTAGACCTACAAATGTCCCTTGCTGTTGAATTAAATACTCACAGTTATTCTTTCATCTTTATCATCCAGTGGAGAGCCATCTTTCTTCCATGAAATGGTGGGCTCAGGATGGCCTCGTGGAGGCTGGCATTCCATGACTGCAGGCTCTCCTACTGCCACCATGACATCCGAAGGGTTTTGTCTGAAGTCATCCCGAAGTACTGTAGGAACAAGATTAAATCATTATACTCAAAAGTGATATATACAGCCCTAATCTCTGAACTTCAGCAGGAGACATTCATTATAATTACAATAAACTACCAGTAATAGCTCTTGCAGTACAGCTTTAAGAATCTGTATCTACTTACAGACATCTGCAATTTAATAAAGATATTTGGCCTTAAACGTACACAGGAGGGATAATTTGATATTCTTCAGAGGCCAGCAGGCGAGCATATTCCGCTGCTTAGTGTCCTCACAATTAGCATGTGGCTCATCTTTAACTTGCATTTCTTTTCTGCCTACTGCCTACGTTTTCTCATTCATGTGCTAATGAATATAACTGAATCTTCTTTTTATCTATATGATCCAACATGATAATGCTTTCTATAATTAAATGAATTACATATACATGTAAACCTAAATATTAAAAGAAAAAAAGAAGATACTTCCAAGTGTGAAGTTGAGATAAATTTTATAAATATTTAAAATTAATGTATAAGGCCACATAATCATTATAATTTAAATGTTTATTATTAAAACTTTAGACATATCTGCAAAGCCACTACATTGAAACTCATTGAGTTTTCCCATGATTACTGAGAACGTTAGAAGGCACCAATACAGATAACAGCAGTGCTACCAACAGCACCATTTTTTATGTTCCATGTTTTTGTTGTTTTTTGGTGTATATTATCTCATTTAATCCTTAACTTGTTCAGGATGAGAGACACTATTAACTCTGCTTGTACTGCTAATATTAGTCCCATACTGAGGAGGAAGAAACAATTCACTATTGCAATCTCAACTAGACACTGATATAACATTAACATACTGTAAAACAGTCCGTATATGTAACTGTTAGAATTAAATGTGGAAAAGACACCAAATATATATTCCAAAAATAGTTCATACAGTAAAATTGTCCCTAGCATCTTGATAACATCAAGAAATCATGAATTATTTGACATGTTAGTCTTAAATACAACTCTTGCATATTAGACATGCAATCTTGAACTTACTACTTAATACTTTTGCTTCCCTTTTCACAAAACAGGGATAAAGGCATATAATTCAGTACAAAGTCCAATAAACAGTTATCATTCGTCCACCCTATTTTCCTCGATCTGATGTGTGAATACAATGTGCACTCTTGGTAACCTAACTTTACATGGTACTTAAAACATTTATTAGTATGTTAAGTGCACAGATTTGGATTGACAAATGTTATTTATCTTTTAAAAGCTATTAAATTTTTAAAAGAATATTTGATATTATAACTTTGTAGCAGAATGGATGTCTTTTCATTCCACTGGCATTTAAAAGTGCTTTCATGGATGAAGTACCACAGTGTAAAAAACTTATGCTCAAACTGTTCTTTCAAAAATCACTCAAACTTTGGTTTCAAAACCTCCAACAAGTTTAGGAACTTACAAAAACCTATATTTTTCTCTTGCTTTTTAAAAGTTTTCCTTCCTCAATTCTAAACAAGTAGATGTATACATCTGAGTAAGTTATCACATCTGTGAAAAAAAATCCCCAGCTTTTAATCTGAATATTGCCACAACTTGGGCACAGCATGACTATGATAATATTTGGAAATTACTGCTTCAAAGAGAAGACTTTTTTTTTCTCTCATCTTTGGAAAGAACAGTAAAAAGAAAAGCAAAATAAATCTGATTTCACCAAACTGTTTAAATTCTATCTTCAATTCTATTCACTATTAAAAAAAAACATGTAGACATAAAGGTAAACCTTGTTAAACTGAAAACTGCAGCTACTGTTACCACATAATAAAAGAACAGAGTATGAAGATTTTCACTATTTATAAGCTTATATTATTATTAGGTGTTTAAGAACCTAACGTAAGGCTTGTAGAAAAAGCAAATGAATTGATCTTGACAGGTAGTATGTACCTTTGCAGGATCACATTATTAATCAAAGATAACACCTCTGAAAGGTTTAACACATTTGAAACACCCAAAAGTAAAATACTTTTCAAATAAAAGTAAACAATATGCACAATTTTTCTATGTGGCAACCTTAAAACCCATTTAGTAATACTATATCTTATTTACAAACTGAGATCATGCCTTAAATAAACCAATGAATAATAAAATATCTTGCAGAAATATCAAAGGTCTAAGCCAGATAAATAGTTTTTTCACATTTATTATGTTATTTGGCCTTTTATTTTTTCAATATATAATGAAAAACTAACAAAATGTAATCTATTAAAAATTGTTGCTTAGATTATGCTCATGTAATTATTTTTGCAGCTGTAAAGCATAAAATTTTAGTATTGCCTGTGACTATGGGATATTCGGTATAAAGTTATTAATTCAATATTTTTCTTCTCTCTTTTAAAACTAATTTTTCTTTCTTATACTTACTCCAAAGATTTCCTTTTGGGGAATAATAATATGGTATCACATTATATAACGATATCAAACTTTTAGTTAGGCTGTCCAGTTTTCGAAATGCATGTGTATATTTAAGTCATAACAATAAAAATCAAATTCAGATTCACAGCATTTTGGTAGAAAAACCAACAGCATCCATAAGTATTCCCAGATACAGATCTTTTGAAAACCTTCTCCTTTAACCTTTCTATTAAGCAAATACATATTTTTTAATGTTTCTTGATTTGAATTATGTAAACATTTTAATTTGTAATTGTCAAAAAGTTTTATATTAATTTGAAAAGAGCAAGTAGTATATATAGTGTAATCAAACAGATGTCACCTAAAAAGGTATTAAACCAGAGTTCCCTCAATATTATATCATATTTTTTCATATTTGTGTAGTTTTATGTTATATGTACACTTTAATACACGTAATTTAAATCAACAGCTTTTCATTTTTTTATTCTTTTAAATTAGAAAAACCCTAAGCTTCATTGAATATTTGAATCCTAGAAGGTTTTTTCTTTAAAAAAGTAGTTCACAAATTGTACAAAACATAAAGCATGTAATCACCTACTTTTTGAAAACTTTACATTATTATTTTTTTTTTTTTTGAGACGGAGTGTCACTCTTGTTACCCAGGCTGGAGTGTAATGGCGCGATCTCGGCTCACCGCAACCTCCGCCTCCTGGGTTCAGGAGATTCTCCTGCCTCAGCCTCCCGAGTAGCTGGGATTACAGGCACGTGCCACCCATGCCCAGCTAATTTTTTTGTATTTTTAGTAGAGAGGGGGTTTCACCATGTTGACCAGGATGGTCTCGATCTCTTGACCTCGTGATCCACCCACCTCGGCCTCCCAAAGTGCTGGGATTACAGGCTTGAGCCACCGCGCCCGGCCAACTTTACATTAATTTTAACACAATTCTCCAAATAAGTAAACATGTTTTCAGAAAAGAATTCTAAAATGCGGTAGTGTTTTTGCAACTTATCTGGGTAATGTTAAGACGAGAAGCAAAGCAGAATATAAAAAATTAAACGGAAACTGTTCCAAGTAATGTGGAGGCCTTATATTTGCAAAACCGTCTTTAAGTGCATTGTAGGACATTTTAGAACTGAAACATAACATTACAGAATGGGCAGAGGTCTTTGCCAACACATAATCCATCCCATAAACACAGACAACCAAGTCCCAGGAAGCTTGGTTTGTGTTATTTATGAGAAGAGGACCAGAAGAAAACCTAGGTATTCTGATTCCCAGTGAAGTGGTTTTTCTTTCTTTCTTTCTTTGTTTACCATGTCACTATTGTACTGTAAAAAGGCACTTGCTCTACCTAATCCAGTTTATTTCAAATAAATTTACTTCATTATTGCAAAAGGGTTGACTTATGGTGACTGTGCATCACTGTGGAACAGTCTCACGACTATCCAATCTTGGTAGGCTCAAGTGCACCTCCAGTTAAACATGAACAACTAATTGTAAATATTTGTGAACTACATACAATGCCTTTACCTTCATGAATAATAGAATCTCAGTGTGGTTAGGGGCCTGATAGATGTGTGATCCACACTTTTTTGTCTTAGAAATTAATAAACTAAGGTTCCTCATGGGGAAAGGATTATGCCACATAAATAATAATAAAGTCAGCAATATAATAAAGATGTTAGCAATGGCTGATGCTAATTGAACACTTACTGTGTAAGGAACCATATTAAGTAACAACTCATTTAATACTTATAATAAACCTATGATAAAGTGAATGCCTTGGTTTTGATTCACAGAAGAGAAATTTGTAGGATGTGGCAGCCAAGCTAGAATAGAGATCTCCAATATCTAAAGAACATTTCTCTACCAAGTTGTCTGCCCATCTGGTCTTAACACAGTGTTCATAATTCTAAATACATAACTATCATGATATAATTAATATTTTAGACTCTTTCTATTGTAACAAAAGTGAGAAATTTCCCTCCTGACAATCATATGTTTTAATATATTCTGCATTCCTGGGTTTTTTTAGATGATTTTTCTTGGAAGAGAATGAATTCTATTTCATTATTCATAACACATATGACGTGCTAGTTTTTACCAATGCCTCCTTTTTATTTCAACTGCAAAATGATTGAAAAAAGCTGTATAATAATAAGAAATTTAATTGAAAATGAGCAATTAATTAGAAGTAGGTATCTTGGGAAAAATAGGGGAAGATATTATGCAGTCCTGGGATTTATCTTTTCTACTTCCATTGATAAAGACTAATTTATCAATGAAACCTTGCAGCAAATAGTAACCTCTTTTCAAGTAGAAAAAAAAAAATGAAATCCTTAAATAATAAGGTAAATTGGAGGAGAAAATAAATAGGAGGTAAAGACAACTCTATAAATACTCAGTAACAACCTGTTTCTGTTGCCATGTGCCAATTTAATTGTTTTCAAAATTTCTAATCACATACCTAGTCTTTAATTTTGAGTACAGAATACATTACTTACTTTTATGATACTCCTAATTCCCTGTCTAAATACCAACTTCATGATGATGTAAATAAATGTAATTTAATATCAAAATAACTATCATTCTTTCATTTAACACATCTGTACTGAGC